GCTGGCTGCCCCCAGCGGGAGGCGGTGCAGCGGCCGCCCTGGCTCCCGCATCCACTCGGCCAGCGTGAGCCCGCCACGGCTCGCACGCCCCTCTGAGATGATCAGGCATTAGGATCTCTACTGGTAGGTTATGACGGAGTGTTGAAATGCTCCGGTTACAACCAGTTCCTCCTGCAGGCATCTCTCTGGCCTTCCTCATGCGTCATGAAGGCAGAAGCGCTAATGACGCCCCCATCCATCCTAGCATCAGGCGCGGGGTAATTTTTATTTATGTTAATAAAAGACAGCTGTTTCCCCTGCTGACATCTGTTTGGTTGGAGAATAGAGTTTGTTCTGTTAGGAAACATCACCAGTGGCCTTTCTGTTCTTCACACATGCGATGCACACTCCCCTCCACAGACTTTTAGTTAACTTATGTCCCCATGGGCCTTTCGCGAGCTGCTGGAAAGTGAGGTTTGGGCTGAGGTTCCCCAGGCCCAGCGTCTCCAGGAAGGATTTCGGCGTGGACAAAGGCTCAGGGAAGAGAGGGAAGAAGGCAGCCCGAAGCCCACGGACTGTACGTCTTGCCATTTCGTAGTTATTCAAACCTATTTGATGCCTAGTCTGAAAGACATCGTGCCGTTCATTTCGGGAGAGCAGATCACACATCACGAAGAGCTCTGGAAAACATTCTCTTGTAGGAACAATTTTGTCTACTGTGGATCCCTTATTTTTATTTCTTTATTTATCTATTTTTTTTGGGGGGGGTGTTGGTTGTGGGGCTTGAACTCTGGGCCTGGGCGCTGTCCCTCAGCTCTTCAGCTCAAGGCGAGCGCTCTACCACTTGAGCCACAGCGCCACTTCCGGCTTTTTTCTGTTTAGGTGGTGCTGAGGAATCGAACCCAGGGCCTCGGGCAGGCAAGGCAAGCGCTCTACCCCTGAGCCACCTTCCCAGCCCCTAGTTATGTATTTATTTTGGAGTTGTCTTTTCCCCTACTTCATTCCTAGGCTGCAGGTCTTCTATTTTTTCCTCTCCTCGTTTTTGTTCTTTTCCATCTTTGCATGGTCGATGAGAGGCTCTCAACCCTTCCCTACCGCCCGTGTCCCCTCTAAAGTGGTCCTTCCGTCTCTGTGTTTCATGTCTCCATCCCTGACATAAATTACAGCCCGTAAGGAAAGCATCAGAGCGGTCCCGGAGAAACCCTCAGAAGATGGAGAGTCTGTTTCCATGCAAATCTCTTTCCCTGACTCCCCGTCCTAGGGGAGCTGGGAAACAAGCCTCTTTATGATATAGATTCGGTGGCAGTTCAACAGCTCCAAGCTACTTCCACTGGCAGTTAGAAGCCGCTAAGGTTCAGAGATAAATCACCAGAAACTTCCCCCTCTTCCTGGTGGATACAGGTCTTACCTGGGGAAGGGGGTTGGGGGCCGGGAATCACTGTGCTGATTGGGTTCAGGGAAATGGATGAGCGTACTTTCTGAGTGCTTTTAAGTCAGGGCATTTTGTTCTGCAGTACCTCTCTGATCTAGCACTTAGGGCCTATTTCAGTTCTCTTGGGAGGGGAGTGGGGGCGGTGTGACATGGATGCTTCCAGAAGGACCAGGCCATCTACATCCAAACTTGGCCCCAGAGGGCTACACAGCATGCTGCCCCCCCCCCCTTCTCACAGTCCACCAACTTAAAAGCACATTTTTGTTTGTTTCTTTCTTTCTTTTGGTGCCCATCCTGGGACTTGAACTCAGGGCCTGGGCACTGTCCCTAAGTTCTTTGTGTGTGTGTGTGTGTGTGCGCGTGCGTGCATGCTCAAGGCTAGTGCTCTACCACACTTGAGCCATAGTTCCACTTCTGGGTTTTTGCTGGTTCACTGGAGGTAAGAGTGATCTCACAAACTTTCCTGCCCGGGGTTGACTTCGAACCCCGATCCTCAGATCTCAGCCTCCTGAGTAGACAGGCGTGAGCCTGTCCCAGTGCCCAGCTAAGAATAGGTCCTGCTATACGACGTAAACTCTCCGTTGACCCTTTCGTTTCCTTTGTCGCCCTCTTTGTCAGGTCTTTGGTTGGCTGTGTCCCCAAACCCTCGCTGTAGGTGATACCCCTCACGCCCTCCCCTAGGGTAGACATGGCTCATTGAAGCCCACACCCCGGTCTTTGTAGATTCTGAGGCCTCTGCCACAGCTTCTCGAGCGTAGCTTCCCTGGAGAGATGTAGGGACATTTTAAATTTATTACTACTCATAAAACTATTACTAATGGTGATCACTGCACAAAGAAGTTTCAGTGCAACAGTTAGTGAGCACAAGGCCTCTTGGTCAATGGTACCCTCCCATCATTCACCACCCCCCATGTCTTCCAACCTCAGTCTTTTACTACTGCTACCATCTTCCTGAGACTGGGTCATGTGGGAGAGCGATGCGTAGCAGTGCCTGGGCTGGATGAAGGCAGACTGTCTATGGCTGAGACTAGAAAGAAGAGATGGCCTCTAAAATGGCGCACGTGTGTGTGTGTGTGTGTGTGTGGAGGGGCAGTGGGTGGAGCCTGAAGATGGCTTCTTTCCCTCCCCACAGTGCCCCCTGTGGCAGCTCTGGGGAAATGCATTTCCCCACAGAATGCCAACTTGGACCCCCAGTTCCCCCTGCCTACCCCCACGCCCCAGGAAAGTGGTTTCTTTGGGGGCCCGTGCCGGGTTATGATTCCTTTGTGGGGGAGACCTGTTCTCTTTCTTCACCACACCAAGAATTCTTCCCATCATGTTCTCTGCTGCCCTGGAGAGCCAGCCACCGCCCCCCCCCATCTTCTGGGCCTCTTCCTCTCCCCCCCCCCGCCCCCCTCCTCTTAACTTCATAGATGGCCTTGTCATAGAATGGGAGATGAGTTCAGCCATCACAATCACCATCGTGATTAACCGCTACCCCACCACCCCAGGCCTCATTCCTGGTGGAAGGAGGGAAGGAGACTTAGGACTCCAGGGAGCCCAGCACCCTCCTTCCCTCCCCCCGGCCGCCCCCCCCCCGCCCCGCACTCCCTGCCTCTCTGGCTTGCCTCCGTTCCGCCTCAGAGGTCGGTCGCTGTCCCCAAGGCTCCTCACCTGAACGGGAGAGGCGGCCAGACAAGCTGTCACCTGCTCTCTGGTCTGCAAAGGCCCGGCCACCTGCTGTGACAGAGAGGGTGGTGGTGACAGGCCATTCTCCGTGTTCAGTGAGGCCCGACGGCACAGGGTGGCAGGGGACTGGGGGGGGGGGGAGGCTCCTTGCCAGCGGGCCTGGCGCTGCCCCCTCACGCCCGCGGGAGCGGCTCCGCAGCTGTCCCCGGTGCCCCCCGGGGCAGCTCCAGACTTGGCAGCCAGGACACCTCCAGACTCCCTGATCGCCTGTTTGAAATGCAGAAGAACAAAACTTTTTCATCTCCCAACCCGGCCACCCCCGGCACGCGCATGCACGCGCACACACACACACACACACACACATATATACACACACACACACAGATCCAACTCACTCCCATTCACAGACCTACACTGCCAAGCCTTCTTTGTCTGTCTTACACACACATAGTACTAAGTTCTCACACACAATCCTCTTTCATTCACACACACACACACAGACCTAACTCACTCCTATTCACAGACCTACACTGCCAAGTTTTCTCTGTTTCTACACACACAGTACTAAGTTCTCACATGAAATCCTCTCTCTCTCTCACACACACACACACTAATTAAACTCTTGCTCTTCTCTACATTACCCCTACCCCTTTCCTGAGAGTGACTTATACCCAGCCCCCCGACCCCCAACCCGCAGGTACCTGAGAACTTCTGGGTCCTCCCATGAGTTTCCCTCCCCCTTTCTTCCCCCCTCCTTCCCTGGCCAGGGGCACTGGGTCTATGAAGTCAGTAACGAGCGTTCCTTTCTGGGGTCTGGCGAGGACAGCATCCCCCCCCCCCCCGCCGGGCAGCCGATCCTGCCCTGCAGGCATCTGTCACATCGCTGGCACCGGAGCCGAGGGCATCTCCCGCCGCACGGCCGCCAGTGTCCTGGGGGAAATCAGGACTGTCGTCTTTGCAGAGTTGGACGCATGCCTGGCTTACCTTTCTTCCTCCCAAGCCCCAGATAGGAAAGCAAATGTGGAAAAAAAAAAAAAAAAAGCAGTTCATTCCTCTTTTTTTTTTTCTTCCTTCCCATCCCATCTCCTGGATTAATCATTTATACATTTTTAAGGTTTTTCTATATAAAAAAAAAAATCCACTGTGCGCTTCTGGTGCTTCGAACAGGGAAAAGAATGGTCAGAATAAAAATAGCCTCTTTAGGAACGCAAGGCCTGGCTCAAGTAAGAGAATACCTGCTCTGGGAGTGGGGGTGAGGCCTGGGCTTTATGCCCTAGTTCACACACATGTGTGCGCACACATGCATGCATGCACACACATAGATGCACGCATACAAATGCATGCACACGTACAGATGCACACATGCTCACGCACGCACGCATGCACATGCACACACATACCATACAGATGCGTGTGCAAAAAAGGCCTGGGCTTTATGCCCCAGTTTATACACACATGCGTGCGCTCGCACACACGCATGCACACACCACATAGATGCATGCACACAAATGTATGCACACACCATATACAGATGCACGTGCAGGCACACACATGCACACACGCACAGTAGCCTCCTATGGCTGATGAGGTGGAGCTCAATGGAAATAGGACTGAAGGGCAGCCATGTATGATGTTGAAGGAGGAGGGCGCCAGGAAGCCCTTCCTTCTCCTCATCCTTTTGGAACCACCGTGGGCTGCTACAGGGCAAGGATACCCGCATGTTGCATCTTACGTAGCCAGCCTCCTGTCCTATTGGAGTAGCCACACTTCCTCCTCCCCCCCCAGGTGTGGAAGGCCCCAGGAAAGAGGGGAGGGGACAGCAAAGTGTCTGGACCTGCCACCCTCTTGTGCCGGGTGCGTTAGATTGGTTTGTTTCAGCTAGAAAAGCAATGATGGCTGAGCAGGTTTCTCCTCCTCTCAGGGAGGGAAGATCCCGGTGAGGTGGACAGCCCCCGAGGCGATTGCCTACCGCAAGTTCACCTCAGCCAGCGACGTCTGGAGCTACGGGATCGTCATGTGGGAAGTCATGTCATTTGGAGAGAGACCCTACTGGGATATGTCCAACCAAGACGTGAGTGCCCTTCCCTTCCTTTCCATTCTCCTTCCCTTTCTATCCTGTCCCGTCCTGTCATGGTGCTTGAGCTGAGAGACCTGGGTGCTGTCCCCTGAGCTCTTCAGCTCAAGGCGAGCGCTCTACCACTTGAGCTATAGAGCACCACTTCCGGTTTTGTGGTGGTTCACTGGAGATCAGAGTCACAAGGACTTTCCTGCCCGGGCTGGCTTTGAACCTCGATCCTCAGCTCTCAGCCAACGGAGTCACTGGGATGACAGGCGTGAGCCACCCGCACCCCGTTTCCCAGGCCTTTTCAGCTCCAGGCATCATAAGTTGAATTTGAGATGTTCGTGGACAGGGGACACAGGGGCAGCCCTGTGCATGGGTGGTTGAGCTAATCAAAGAGCCAAGCACGGAGGTCATTCCGGTCCAGTGTCCCAACGACCACAAAGCCTCTGAGGTGCCCAGGCCACAGACTCCAATCCAAGAGGCCGAAAGGCCATGAACGATCATCCCCAGATAAGTAGGACAATCCACTCTGAGTCCAAGGACCTAGAGCTGTGTGTGACCAGAGGGGAAGAAGGGGGGGGGGACAGAGGCTGACCTGTGGGGTGTCTGTCCTGCTCAGGTTCTGTTAGCCATGTAGCCACTTGCTACCTAGGACTCATATCCTCAGCCTTCCAAGGGCCATTCTCCCCCTACACGCCCCCCCCCCCAGAACGTACTCTTCTTTGAACCCAGGACTGCATCGGGGAAGGGGAAGGAAGCGGAGAGCTCCCCGGGGGCTGGCTGACTTCAGAGGGGTGACAGGAATCGGGTGTCCGCTGCCCTAGTGGGAACGAGGCTGGAGATGATATAGGCAGAGGCATTCTGGGAGATTCCAGACGGCAGCCCCCTTTTATTGTTACTCCATCCTCACTGAAGGCAAGGAAGCCCTATTTGGGGGGGGGGGGGGGATGATGAGCTCTGGCAAGGCCTCCAATCCAAAGTCACCTGTGAAGTTCCACCTTGCCTCTGGGCTGGGCCATTTCTCCGGGACCAGGGCTGTTCTTTGTTTCCAATGCCTGTTGTCAATGCCCTGGGACCGGTGAGAGGCTGTGCAGGAGGAGCCCGTGTCCCTTCACCCCAGCTGGTGTGGGCGGCAGGCGCATCGGGGATCTGATCCTGCCATGTCTAGGTGGCTTCTGAGGTCACATCGTGTCGACCCAGAGGTTTATGGCCTTTTTTTTTTTGGATCCAGTCGTGGGGCCTGAACTCTGGGCCTGGGTGCTGTCCCTCAGCTCTTCAGCTCAAGGCTAGCGCTCTACCACTTGAGCCACAGCGCCATTTCCGGCCTTTTTCATTTTTGCTTATGTGGTGCTGAGGAATCGAACCCAGGTCCTCGTGCATGCAAGGCAAGCGCTCTACCGCTGAGCCACCTTCCTCGCCCGAGGTTTTTGGCCTTTGTTGAGGCTGGGAGGGATGACTCCCTGTGACGTGGCAAGAGGAGCCAGGTGTTTTCTGGGACAGCGCCCGTGTTTCTCGGGGCAGAGCAGGTGAGGTCGCACACTCTTCACCAGGGGCAGCCTCGGGGGTGGCGTCTGGTCCTCTGTCATCCGCGATGATCCCCACCCCGCCTCAGCCCCTATCACTGGTCCGATCTGCCAGGTGGGCTTTTGTGAAACCAGCTGCACTCGGGGTCCCTCCCTGCCGCCTCAGCACACACACACACACACAGCTCAGTGGACCGACAGGCACAACTCAAGAACCCAAGACATTCTCAATCAAGGCATTCATCCATGCCAAAGGCAAAGAAGAGTTTCTGAGATACAATTTCCAAGCCATTCATCCAACACACAACCAGCGTCCGACTCTCTGCTCCTCTTCTTGAGGGGTTTACGGTTGAGTGGCGTGAACGCAGGTCTAGACGAATGTGGGGTGGGGTGGGGTGGGAGGCAGGGAAGGAGTGTTTGGATTTTTTTTGTCCGTCGTGGGGCTTGAACTCAGGGCCTGGGCGCTGTCCCTCAGCTCAAGGCAAGTGCTGTACTACTTGAGCCACAGCACCGCTTCCGGTTTTCTGGTGCTTCACTGGAGATCAGAGTCTGACAGACTCTTCTCATGGGCTGGCTTTGAACTGAGATCCTCAGATCTCGGCCTCCTGAGTAGACAAGCATGAGCCATTGGCGGCACCTGGCTCTGGATTTTTTTATCGAGGCTGGGTCTCGGATGGCATTGAGTAGGAGTAACAGTCTCATTTTTGTTGGATTTGTCCAACACACTCCAGCCTGGACACAAGTTCCCCCCACCCCCAATATAGTTCTCCTGAGGGGAGGCAGGCGGTGACATCACACATTCGGGGTGGGGCAGGGCAGGAGGCGCTCGGTAGCCGGGCTGCGCATCTACTCATCAGAAGCCACTGCCGTGGTGACAGAAGAAGGGTTTTCACAGATGACAATTGAAGGGCTTTAAGGAAGAGAATCGCAGAGGCAAGTCAGGGAAGTGCTGTAATTGGGCTTCCCGAGCCGCGGAAGGTCTTTGAACGTGTACCGAGAGTGTGTGTCGGCGAGAGAGAGCAACTTGGAAGTTGTCGCTGCTGGGATCTGATTGACAGAGATAATGAGAGTGGCGGTGTCTGCGGAGAGGAGTTGGGGTTTTATTGGAACATCAGAGCTCAGCTTAACCCACTCTGCCCTGATTCCTCCACCCACCCTGGACTCGCTCATAGATGCTACCGCTCCAGCGGCCACCCAGCGCCTCCGTGACTTCACACCCAGTACCTGGGAGCACTTGGTTCCCCACCCCAGAGCACCCAACATCTTGGATCTCAAGACAGCCTCTCCCTGTCACCCTGTGTTTTTATAGTTGGGCCCCAGGGCGTTTGCTGACCCTCGATTTGGGGGATGGACCACAGGGAGATGGGTACAATTCTCCCCCAGGCCAGTTGCCTAGGCTGTTGATGGCTGCCTGGTCCAGCCCCACCCTGCTGTGGACCAAGGGTCCTTCAGGACCCCCCCTCCACCCCTGTGCCTGCTGTAACTCCCCCTACAACCCAGATGCAGACCCTAGGGCGAGAACGCCGGTGCTGCTCCCTGTCGGGCGTGACGAGGTTGGAGCCACAGAGTAAGTTGTCTCTGGGATTTTTTTTTTAATATCTTGATGCTTTAATTTGAATTTAAGTCATATGCACTGAGGGAAAAAAAATTACGAGAGAATAAAAATCCGTGACGCCGTCACAGTCCCATCAAAGAGGAGCAGGTAAGTGCTGCTCGTGCAGCAATTAATGACTGGTGTTCTTTCTCCTTTGAGGGACAGGGTTGAGATGTGACAGTCAGTCCTCACTGCTAGGAGAAATATCGGAGGGGGGGGGAGGTGGATGTGGGAGATGAACACAGGGAGACGGGATGACAGGGGAGAAGAGGACGGGGACAGAGGAGGCAGCAGAATTAAACAAGATGAGAGACACAGCAGGAGAGGGAGGAGAGTGTAGAGAAAGGAGAGGAGGCAGAAACGGAGAAGAGAGTAAGGGAAAAGGGGCAGAGGACAGAGAGGAGAGACCAGAGAAAAGAGGGTTCTAGCACGGAAATGGGGAGAGAACACAAAACAGGGCTAGCAAAGGATCTAGCGGGAGAGGGGAGAGAAGGAAGGAGAGGGAGAGATGAGGAGGATGGGAGAGTGAAGACATGGCAGGAGATGAAGGAGATGGGGAGGAGAAGGGAGGGGGGAGAGGCAGCTAAGGAGGTCAGAGAAAGAAGAGGGAGTAGGTAAACAGGAGAGACCTAGAAGATATTAGAGAGCAAGATGCAGACAGAGGACAAGATCTAGAGAAAAATGTGAGAGGGGGTAGAAGAGGACAGATCCAGGACCAGGGGAGGAGGAGAGTAGGACAAAAAGAGAATCTAGAGAATGTAGAGGAGAAAGGGGACAGAGTGGGAGGAGAGCAGAAGAGCCCGAGGAAGCAGAGTGGAGAGGAGGAGCCAGCAAGGAGGCCAGATAGAGGAGGAAAGACAGCAAGGAAGGAGTGAAAGAGAGGTAGAGGTGAGAGAAAGGAGACAGCAAGAGGAGAGAGATGGGGGGAGAGAGGGGACAGATGGAACTTGAACAAGAATAGAGGAGAAGGGATGAGGAGGGGAGGGAGAGGACACAGCAAAAGAGTAAGGATACGGACAGAAGAGAAGAGAGGTGGGAAAACAGATGCAGAACAGAGAGCATGTCGAGAAAGAGAATCGAGCCAATGACAGGAGACGAAGGAGAGAGAGGAAAGAGGAGAGGAAGGTGAGAAGGGTAAGGCGAGTGGTTTGATGACTGGCGGGAGATAGGAAGAAGGTGAGGAGATTTGAGATAAGAAGGAAGGAGAGAAGGTGGAGATGAACAGGTGGAAGGAGTCGTCAGAGACACAGTGAAGAGAAAGGGCAAGATAGAGTGAGAGAAACACCATCAGGAGGAAGAGGAAATGGATGAGAGAAGAGACATAGAGGAAATGGATGAGAGAAGAGACATGAGGACAGGGAGCGGAAGGAAGGGGAAACAAAGGAACAGCCTGAGAGGGCAGGAGGAGGGGGAGGGAGGGGTGGGGCGCCTCACCTGGAGCTTGGATCTAGGCCTCGGCTGTGGCTGTGAACCGACCCGGCTCCTGCTTGGATCCAGGCTTCGGCCCTTCCATCGTCTTTTACACCACATAGCACACTTACCTTTGTCAGTAGGAAAAATGAGTATTTAGCGCTGTAGAACCAAACTGCGGACAAATGTGCCAGCGGTCCTGCGAGCAGGAGCCTCTCCTGGCCAACCTTTAGGCCTTGGAGAAAGAGCATTCCCTAAACCTTCCCACCACCATGTAGAGACACTGGGGCCTTGAATCTGCTTACCTGGAAGGAGCTGGAAAAAGACCCAGATTCACGAACCGAGCCAATGTGGCTAGCTGCTGCTTCCTATCCGTGTTCCGCCACCCCCAATCTCCAGGTTGGGATGACAGCAGCAGCCCCTCACCTCCTACAAACCCACGGAAAGTAACTGCTGAGGTGTTCAGAACCTAGTCACCAGAGTAGCTCCAAGCAAATAACCTCACAGTCATGAGGAGCCATTGCTCCGTTTTTCTCATGGGGGAAACGAGGCCGAAAGCTCTCCTAGACGATAGAAGAAAATTTGATTGACAGCAGGCTGGAGATGCTTTAAACACACACAAAACAACAACAACAAAAAAACCTGTCAGTGTGTAACGCACTGTTCAGAGCGGGGAAGAGTGCGGCTTCCTGGAGTGCGGGTATTAGTGTGGTTTGTATGTTTGTTCTTTTTACCAAGAGTTGTATTAGAAAATAATATACCTTGATTATCTCTAGGAACCGCAGCTCATTTTTCCCTCCACCTCATGCACTATCTAGACTGTGCATAGAAGAGGTTAGATAGATACATAGATAGATAGATATACACGCACCGGGATTGAGTACTCACTTGCTAGTCTGCCGGAGCGGACAATGGAAAGAAGAATTAGTTGAAATAAACCTGCTGTTTAAATAGAAGTAAACACCCAGGAAAAAAAAATCACACTCCCAATTATTTCCTGTGTTACAGAAGGTGCTTTAACTATGCCGTAATATTAAAAAATCCGTGTGATTATTATTATACACAATAAAAATACAAGTGAAAAGTGAGACATTCTTATTCCAAGCTCCCCACGGGCAGCCACCGTTAACTCCACAAGCCTACAACTCCCAAGGTCTTTTTTCTATGCAAGTCTATAACGCTTTGGGGGTTTGATTTTGGTTTTATTTTGTAAAAGCAGGAACGATGTCATCCCTGCAGTTTTATATAGCTACCCTTTTGCTTAATATTATAATGTGAGTTTATTTCTATTTCAACGTTGTTGTTTTTTGGCAACATTATGAAGGCCTGTGTTGGCTTCTGAGCTTTCTGTGGTGTCCCCAGTAAAACCATGCTACACTTGCTGCTACTTAGGTCATTTACAGTTTTTTTTTTTTTTCTCCCCTGGTACCAAAAAGCACAGAGCCGGCGTGATTAAGTGAATTAAGAAATACAGGATTTCACACGCATACACACCCAAGTCTGAAAAGGAAAGCATCGCAAGAGTGCAACGTGTACACAAGCATCTCCCCTACACTTTGGGACATCCTGTGTCCAGCCAGTGAGGCGCAGGAGGGTGTGGCAGGGACAGCCCTTTCCCGACGCTCCTGTGCCGGCTGGTGTTTTCTGGGCACCGCCCAGTGCAGTCGGATGGCCCAGGGCACTGGGACTGCCGAGGGTGAGTCACGCTGGTTTCTCCACCCTGCAGGTCATCAACGCCATCGAGCAGGACTACCGGCTGCCCCCGCCCATGGACTGCCCGGCTGCCCTGCACCAGCTCATGCTGGACTGTTGGCAGAAGGATCGCAACAGCCGACCCCGCTTCGCGGAGATCGTCAACACCCTGGACAAGATGATCCGGAACCCAGCAAGTCTCAAGACCGTGGCAACCATCACCGCTGTGTGAGTCACTGGGGGGGGGGGGGGGGCGCGGCATGGAGAACAAGGCACAGGGGCTCCCGCCTGTCATCCTAGCTACTCAGGAGGCTGAGATCTGAGTATCGAGGTTCAAAGCCAGCCCAGAGAAGTCCGTGAGACTCTGATCTCCAATAAACCACTCAGAAAACTGGAAGTGGCGCTGTGGCTCAAGTGGTAGAGAGCTGGCCTTGAGCTGAAAAGCTAAGGAACAGCGCCCAGGCCCAGAGATCAAAGCCCCAGGACCAGCACCAAACCCAACATCAAATAACCACTGAGAAGCAGCAGACACTGGTTAGATAATCATGAAAAATGCTAAACTGGTACCTGGAGCGGCCACTGTAGGAGGGAGGGAGCTGGCACAGGACTCTAGAGCTCCAAACTTCAGCTGCAGAAGTGAGGGGATTCCTGGTGAGTTACCCAAGCCAGCCGTGACCTCAACTTCCAGGAATCCTTAGCTGGAAGAAAAGGAGATCATGATAAGGGAGCGGGGCAGGGGTTGAGGCCAGGCCCGTCTCAGAACAGCGAGCATCTTCATGACGAGAGGGAGGCAGCGTCTTCAGTCAGCCACGGCTGCGCGTTTGGCGATTCAGTGCAGGATGGGATTGGAGATTAGAGCACTGGCAAGATGGCACCCCGGAGGCGGGTTCGGGCACCTGCGGGTCTGCCTTAGGTCTGCGCTAGGGAAGATGGTTGGCGGGGTTGCCCTCCACCGTGTTTTTATTTTTTCTCAAGTAACTGAGGATGATACCAACAATAAAAATATGACCAGTAAGTTTCAGGAGGCTGTGTTGAAATATATACATATATATACACACACATACACATATATTCTCACAGTTACAGGGTTTGGGTTTTTTTTTTTTTTTTAATGGTAAGGTCCCTCCTTCCCCTCAACCAAATTCTGTGTCAGTCTGTGAAAGGAGGAAGGAAGAGAGGGAGGGAAGGAAGGAAGGAAGGAAGGAAGGAAGGAAGGAAGGAAGGAAGGAGCGAGCCCCGGTGCCACGCCGTCGCAGATTGCCGCTGTCCATGCCACCTGCCTTCAACACTATGTCTCTGTGCTAGAGTCTCTGCAGACACAAGCTCACGTAGACCTCTCCATCCCCCCAGGCCTTCCCAGCCTCTGCTCGACCGCTCCATCCCAGACTTCACGGCCTTTACCACCGTGGATGACTGGCTCAGCGCCATCAAAATGGTCCAGTACAGGGACAGCTTCCTCACTGCCGGCTTCACCTCCCTACAGCTGGTCGCCCAGATGACGTCAGAGTAAGTGACAGGGAAACCACCCTCCCTCCCTCCCAGCTGCTGCCCATGGAACCTGACCCTCAGCTTCTGCTCCCTTCCCCGGAACTCCGTCTCTGCATGAACCAGGCCCTGGGCGGGAGATGGGAGGGAGATAGTTGTGGAAGAGAAGGGGAAGACAACGTAAAGATCCATTCCAGATCCCTCCCCCCAGAATGAGAGTTCTTTCAAAATCATAGTCCATCATTGAGTGTCTTCCCCCCACCCCTACCCAGCCATTGCAGCTGATCAACTCAGCCCATCAGAGAGAGCAACCAGAAGGAAAGAACACAGCCAGCCAGCACTTTAAACAACATAGCAAGGAGACGCATTTCCACTACCTCAGCACTGGCTGCGCTATGTAAGGAGCTAGCGCTTGTAAATAAGCAATCATTTACACACACAGACAGACACAGACAGACAGACATACACAATTTACCAGTCCGCTGTTCCCACCGGGGGTTGGAGGAGTACATACAGTAAAAATCATTCAAATCTGATTGGGTGTCAGAAAGGGTGGATCTTAAAAGATCCACGGAGCCGATCATTTCCCTTGGAATTTTCTGAGTCGCATCAGTTGTGGAAAATGGTTCATAGATTCTCCTTAGGAGGAAAAAAAATGAGGAGGGAGAGAGAGGAGGCACACAGTCAAATAAATTTGGGAACTACTGCATACTTTATCGCCTTCCTGGAGATTCACTATTCATATGAGCACAAAAAAGGCCATGAAAAAAAAATCCCTGAAATAAACCAACTTAAAAATTATTAAACATCACAGAACCATATTTTTGAGGGACAGGTTTGTTTTTTTTTTATGGAACTGCAGTCAGGGAAATATTTATCTTTCCCCTTTCCACTGTCTTCATTCTTGAAATGGTAACGTTGCTGCCCACAGGTGACAAAGCCAAGACAGAAGCCTGCTTTGTCCAGCTACCAAAAAATTCAATGTCCCTCGATCCATGGCCCCTCTACATGACCCCGTCCTTCAGATCACAGGCGGTTCTCCGCCTCTGCTGGTTCCCTGAACCATCTGGTCCGCACCCCCAGACTTCTGATTCATTTTACACTTGGTGAGAGCTGGGCCTGGGAAGAACTATATTCCTGATCATGCTCCTAGTCCATAGCGGAATTCAGGGAACCACTGAAATAAAGTTGGTCAGAGGGTCAAAGTTTGCCTTCTGCATACATGGAAGCAAAGATACTCAACTCTTACCCACAGGACACACATGCACGCAAGCGTAGAAGAACCTCGTAAGCAGCTGGAGCTACAATGTATCTTGATACCACCAGGGTTTTTCCCAGCTTAGAGAACCTGTGGGTCTGGGAGGCCTGTGGACAAACACTTCACTGATCACCTGTCTCAGACTCTGAGATCTCCTTCACAGTGGAAAGTGAGAAGCCATGTTCCTGAAGACAGGGCTTTGTCTCCTTTCCCACCGCTATCTGCCCGCTCCCTGAGTGGAGGAAGGGTTGAAGGGGTTTATCACGTGACTCCCCACAGTCTGAAGGACTCCGCCGAAGTAATTCCTCACTCTGAACAAGAACAAGAGAAAAGACTAAAAGGAAAGTCAAACAGAAAAAATTTAAGGGATTTAGTTCAAAGGAGAACAGGTCTACACAGGATTGGAGCAATTCCGTTTTGTTTCGGGAGAGATGAAAGATAGGGAAGGGAAAAAAAAAAAAAAAGAACAACTCAATAAAATAGATTTCTGTGGGGGCCATTTGTGAATTCAAAATTCAAGCGTGCTCTCCTAAAGTATTTGCGTTAAAAAAAAAAAGATAGAGAACCACCTGTGATCTGAAGGATGGGGTCATGCAGAGGGGGCACGGATAGAGGGATATTAACTTTCTCAACCATCTGCAGCGGTGTAGGGAGATTGACAGGAGAGACCCACATTCCTGGATACTAGTCCAGCTCGGTGTCCGCCAGGGCTGGTGCTGGACAAGGAGACTTTGTCTGCGGGGTCCGGTGGCATTGGGGAAACGAATCAGGAGAGTTTTGAGAGGAACCCTTGTTTTCAGGGTGAGGAAGGGGACTGGGAGCCAGGCTGTTGTGTATCGATCATGATTTATTTACCTGCTGTGTGATTGTGTCCAAATCACTTCTCCAAATGATGTCTTCCCGGTCCATTTAGCATTTCCTAACAGTGCCCATCTTCCTGGCCGATAGTATGCAACTCATTAACTAGGCAAAGATGCCCAGGGAGGCGGGGGGGGGGGGAGGGGGGGGGAGGGGAGGGAGGGTCTCTCCAAGGTCCTAGTTGCAACCATGACCTTCTTCATATTGAAACCCACAACCCAAAGATGAAGCTGCTTCAAACACTTATCTTAGACATATTTGTTCGATTCCTGCTTAGGCTGATTATGTTTCTTTTTGAAGTTACTTTGAGTTCACCCTTTTTTTTTTTTTTTAAAAAGGCATGATATTTAAAATTCAGAGTCGGGAACTGGAAACTCAAGGGGAAAACATCAGAAGACCAGGCCAAGGCCCACATCTTTTCCGTCTCTCAGTAGGGGTGTTCGCTAATTTAGGCAGAGAGCTCCAGCCCCAGTCCCTGGAACCCCATGGGGTTGTGCAGGGAGAGTGTTAAAAAGAACCAGCCGAGGAAAATAAAAAAAAAATCCCAGTCCACCAGAGGGGCCGTGGGCATAGTAGAGGAGCTGCTGGAGAGGCCAGGAAGGAGAAATTGAGGCACAGCCCTTTCACAGATGAAGGCTGCAGGAATCCTAACTGAAGGAGAGAGAAAAACAAAAATCTAACAGGGAGTTGGTGGGAAAACATGAGCTAGACCGATGGCCAGGGCAACACGGATCGAGATGCATGGTGTAGTCATAAATACACGTTGAATTGAAACTCCCTTGTACAACAACTTCAGGATGGTGTTTAAGGACGGGACTTGGGCTACCTGAGGTTTTGCAATGACTCTAAGCCAACCCCCAAGCCTGCCTTTTGGTTTTAGGCGTTTTGATCTCTGAAAAGCTACCCTGACAGCCAGGTGACTTCGTTTTTTTTTTTTATCTCCTCCTCCCTCTCCCAGAGATCTCCTGAGAATAGGAGTCACCCTGGCAGGCCATCAGAAGAAGATCTTGAACAGCATCCACTCCATGAGAGTCCAGATGAGTCAATCACCCACAGCCATGGCGTGAGAACTCCTGACGTGCTCGGTGGGGGAGGGCAGGAAGGAAGAGGAGCCCCCCCCCCCGGCCGGGGGAGGAGGGGGGAGCAGATCAAGAAAGAATTGGAGGTCGACCACTGTGAAAACGTGTTGCGGGGGCTTCTCACCTGGGAAATAGCGTTTCCATCCGGGAAGAATAAACCAGACGGGACCCTCGTTCCTGCGAATGGAGACGCCACGCTTGCCATGCCGCCGGGAAGCCAAATCCGTGGTCGTAAAAACAGGGGAAGGTGACATCCGACCCAAGTGGAGACACACAAAGAAACAAAAACGATTCCTAAATCCGCCGAGGGGGGGCTGGCGTTTTTCCCATGATACAGGAAGAAGGGAAGGAGGTACAGGGAAGAAGCAAAGCTCTCTTCGGGTTTTCTTCCTCACCGATGATGTTCTTTTCTTTCCTCCTTTGGCCTTCCTTCCCGAGCAGTCCCTCCCCCCACCCCCCCAACCATCCATTGCCCTTCGCTCACGACACTCGGCGTCAGGGACGGTTCTTCAAACAAAGCCCATCTCCTGGGTCTCCGGGTGTTGTTCTGTCAGTTGCCAAAGGACTTTTACTGACCGCTGCATGGGAGAAACAACCGATTCAATTAATGTCTTCATATTGAAGAAGAGATGTACCTTCAATTGAAAAAAAAAAAAAAACACACAAACCTTGCTTTTCTTTTGTTTGCATTTTCTGCAAAAAGGAAAATAAAAACCCATAAAGAAACCACAAATTGGAAACCCACAAACCAACCAACAAAGATAGAAGAAAAAAAAAAAAAAGTATTTCGGTGTGCAAGAGCACGCACACGTGTATGTGTCTACGTTGTAAAAATGACTGTGCTCGTCCGTAACATGCAAACAAGAACCGGGAAGATTTGGGTGTCTGCCCCCCACACCCCCCAAAAAAATTCAAAGTTGGTGGCGGGGAGGTGGTGGCAGGAAGATGGCGTCACTTTGGCTTTCTGGATTTTGGCCCAGTGGCCAAAAAAGGGAGAGGAAAGAAGACTTAAAAAAATGCAAAAGAAACCCCACAAACCTCTCTCAAGAGTTTTCAGATTCAGCCAGGAAACAGGTGAGTGGTTTGGATTGGGGGCCGCAGCGCTGACGTTGGAGAGTGATACTGACTGATAAATGATGCTTGCCGACGTCTGAAGGAGAAGGAACGGCGTGTTTCTGGACCGTGTTCTAACTCGTCCCTGGAGTCTGTGATGGAAGAGGGGGCAGGGGGAGCGGGGGGGCGGCATCCGGCCCGGCCTGGGGACGGGCCACCGCCGCGGGGCATCCGAGGGAGAGGTGTTGAGACTGTGTCCGTGTTTCTCTTTACATTCCTTTCCATCGTGCCTCATCCTTCGGTTTCACTTTTGTAAATTCCACCTAACATCGACAGCTTTTTAATTTCTCCTCCCCCTCCCCTTCATCCCCTTGCTAATTTGATCTGTCTAATTAAAATGAACAGAAGCATGTCTGGGGTTTTACATAGAATGGTGTCTGCCTGTGTGTCTCAGGACTGGGCTGTGGTCCCCGGCTGCCAGCTTCCTCCTCTCCAGTATGGGAGGAAAGGAATGGGGTCCCTAACTTCCTGCTGTCCCCTTACAACCCCCCCCCCCCCCCCCCGCCAAGAGGTGGAATACATTAGAGTCACTGGTGTGGATGGGACCTGAAAGAAAAGCCAAATAAATGTGAGCCTCCAATGAGACGTGGAAGAAGCCCCTGGCACACGAACACAAATAATGGCTCCTAATGCACCACCACCCTGCATTTAAGTTGACATGCAGCTGGGTGCCAGTGGCTCACGCCTGTCATCCTAGCTACTCAGGAGGCTGAGATCTGAGAGGATCGTGGTTCAAAGCCAGCCCAGATAGTCTCACCATTCCCGTGAGACTTTTATCTCCTATAAACCACCAGGAAACCGGAAGTGGCGCTGTGGCTCAAGTGTTAGAGCACTCACCTTGAGCTGAAGAGCACAGGGACAGCGTCCAGGCCCAGAGTTCAAGCCCCACGGCTGACAAGAGACATCTCTGAGATGCCGGGCCACAGTCCTTAGTCACTCCAGAGCCTCAGCGTCTTTGGAGGGAGAAGGGGAGCACCAGCGAGTCTAATGTATCCCACTGAGCCTTGAACTCAGGGCACAGATGCCATCGCTTCCCTTTATTGCTTAAGGCTGGCGCTCTGCCACTTGAGCCACAGCTCCTTTTCCAGATTCGGGGTGGTTCATTGGAGCTCAGAGTGTCCTGGACTTTCCTGCCTGGGCTGGCTTCGAACCACCATCCTCAGATCTCAGTCTGCTGAGCAGCTAGGACAATAGGGAGCCATGGGCGCTCAGGTGACATTACCTCCCTGTGGGGCCGATGACTGAACCATCCTGAGCCAGGGCGCCTCTCTGAGGCGCACTTCACGGGCTGTCCGTGTCTGAGCTCCCTTTCTCGCTGGAAGCAGGGGAAAGTGTGGCAAGAGATGCCACGGAACACAAGTTTCCGACAAAGGACCTCAGAGACCAAGATCCTTCACACATGACACAGTCGTGGAGTTAGGATGTTTTTCTCGCACGCATCTAACCTCCCTGTTCCTAACGACTGAACCTTGAGTCAACCACTTCTGTCTGCAGCGCTATCACCTAGAGGAATGCTTCCAGCACACATCACCGGACGCACCTGCAGGTTTCCGGGTCAGGAGAACCGAAGTGCAACAGACAGCTCGCACTTCTCACGGTGGCCAGGGCTTGGGTGTTGTCCCGCAGCTCTTTTACTTCAAGGCTGGTGCTCTCCCACTTGAGCCACAGCTTCACTTCCAGCTTTGTGGCGGTTAATCGGGAGACAGAGGGTCTCCCCGACATCTCTCCCTGGGCTGACTTTGAAGCAGGAAGCTGGGATCTCAGCCTCCTGAATAGCTAGGATTCCAGGGGGTGGGCAAGTAGTGACTGGAACCTGTCTTGGAGATCTATTTTGAACCATGTGGCTTTCGGGCAGGGAAAGCAACCTGACAAGTTGGGGAGTCGGCATCCCGCAGCTGTGGAGGGATGCCACACAGTGAGGCGGAAGGTGTTTAATTAATGTTCTTGGCTCTGCGGCTGATATGATTGGACACCATGTGAGGTGAGCAGCCCTGGAGAGTACAGCGCAGCCTCCTCTGCTTTCTGGAAGTCACAAATAGAGGTTGTGAAGTCCTGAGAAACCAGTCCGGATGGGGGAAGAGAACCCCAGGAAGAGTAGGGTTCAGGAGGTGGTAAGGCAGGGGCTGGGAAGGTGGCTCACTGGTAGAGCGCTTGCCTTGCATGCTTGAGGCCCTGGGTTCGATTCCTCGGCACCACAGAAGCAGAAAAAGCCAGAAGTGGCGCTGTGGCTTAAGTGGTAGAGTGCTTGCCTTCAGCTGCACTGCTGAGGGACAGCGCCCAAGCCCAGAGTTCAAGCCATATGACTGACAAAAAGAAGGAGGAGGAGGAGGCAGAGAACAAGAGGAAGGGGTTTCTTCAGCCAAGGAGAGAATAGCTGCTGGAGAGGTTAGGAAGCAGATTCAGGTCTCTGGTGGCAAGGCTGGGCCCCCGTGGGCTAGGGAGAGGAGTTCTGCAGGCCTGAATGAAGGCGGATGCGATGGACACAGCCTTGTGCAGCTGTGGATGGATTCCCATCTCACCCCTAAGGGAGGAATGAGCCTTCGTACACTCCCTCCTCCGCTCCTTCTGTTATCAGAGGTCCCTGATGGGTTTCCAGTCTTCCAGGAATCATGGACTTGGCACACAGCTCCTCCAAGTGACTCCCCACATAAGGAGAGAGACGGGGAGCCTCCTTCCTCCTTACCTCCGTGCCCACCTTCAGCTCCCCCCGACCTCTAGAAGGCGCTTAGGAAATGCTTGGCTACGGGAAGTAAGTTGGAGCTGAGAAAGTTGAACAAGACATGACTTCACCTGCCCCGAGTCTGTGACCTAAGACAACTATAGCTTTGGAATACATTAATCCCTAGGTATTTCTGTGGGGAATCTTTCTCAATTCCTCTTCGCTGCTAACCCGCCGTAGCCTGCTCTAATTTTAGTTTGGTGAAGTTTCATACATTCCCTCTTCAACCCTGTCTGAATCTTTTTAACCCGGTGTCACCCAACTTCCCCCAGAAGCTCCGGGGTTACGGCTGCCTCCCACCAACTGCCAGTCAGCACACACAAAGTCTCCTCGAGGGAGAAACTAAGTTGACATCACTCCTAGTACCTTAAGAGGCAAAACTAAAGGGCAGGGAGGGGCAGGGAAGCGGGTGGCCTAGCATTCTCAAAGCAGGCTGGGCACGGCATTGTGCGCTGGCCAGGGTGTAATCTATTTGGGCAGGGTGGATGGGCAGGATTCCCTGGGTCGGGTACCTTGCCACAACATGGAAAAATAACAACGGCAAGAACCAGACACAATTCGGGGGAGACTGGTCAGGAGGCTGGAGCGGGGATCTTGGTGGAGATCCAGGATACATCAGCCAAAATGGGTGTGGATTGGACATCGGGGATGAGTGAGGTTGGTACCCCAAGTCTCTGGATTAGGGAACTGGCTGGATTTTGATACCTTCAACTGAAATCAGAAACACATAGGGGGGAAGAAACTGGCAGGTAGAGAGACAGAGAGAGAGAGAGAGTGTGTGTGTACGTATCAATATGAGTTGCCTTGGACCACTGGGAAATGGGAGTAGCAGTTCCAAGACCCAGGGCTACCAGGGGGGAGAGAGCCAGAGAGAGGTTAAGCATGGGAAAGCGCACTGAGCAGAGCTGCGGAAAAGCGCAGGCGGCCTTGGGAAGGGTACTTCCCATGTGGAGATGGTGGGGAGAAGATGCCTGATTGTCTCTGAAGGGAGAAGAAAAAAAACATGTGGATGTGGCTGGACGGGGCTCCTTTCAGTTGTTGCTATTTTCTGGCTTGGTAATGGCAAAGGCTCGAGCATGTTTAGAAGCTAATGAAAGAGTATCTGAACAGAGAGGGGAGGCAAGGAGGGTAATTGAGAGGGTCAGGCCCCGGGGAACGCAGGAGAGTTGGGGTGGAAGAGGGGCCGTGGTTTCAAGTG